CTTTTTGTTTATTTAGATTTTAAATTATTAAGGTTTGGCACATACTTAGCTACGTTTTTTCTGTATAAGGGAATATTATTGCAAAATAAATATATAAAAATGCAAGAAGTGATTGGTTCATCAAATAAATATTCAGGAAAATATGACTTTCATAATCCTAGTGTACGGAAAAGGAATAATAATAATAATAATAATAATAATAATAATAATAATATCGCTACACAAAAAGGTGCCTCATTATTGATATGGGAGTACCTGCAGACTGCAATGTATCTTCGAAGATATTCAAAAAACTTTCAAAATACAAGGTCCTTGAAATCGCAATCTCAAAAATGTGGCACATGGGAACATCAACAATCCCTGTTGTAGTTGGAGCCCTCGGATTGGTTGGAAAATATTCCAATAGACTAATTGAAGGGATCCCTGGAAGCCCATGTATTAAAGAAATGCAAAAAATTGTTCTCACGAGCACAGCCCACACCTTACGAAGGGCTTTGTCTATGTAATTTTTTTTAGTGGAAATGTCATGATGCCATTTCTAACCTTATGTCACTGGACGGGACCCGGAAAGAAGTGAGTACACATCAGAAATCAAAGGAAATAAAATAAAATAAAAAATAATAATGCATTAAGGGATTACAAAAAAATTGTACTGGCAAGTACAACCCACACCTTAGGAAGGACTTTATCTATTTAAAATATGTGTGATTTTTTTTTCCAAAACAGTTCAGGTGAAAATATCATGAAGTCATTTCTGACCTTAGGTCTCAGGTCCTGACACGGAAAGAAATAAGTATACACCACAATTGGGCGCCAAAACGAGAAAGTTTCTCACTTGCCATCGCATGCATCATCCCAAGGCTGATGTTGATCATCTGTGTGTGACCGGATCCGGAGTAGACAGAGGATTAGTTCAACTAGAACTGCCTTACAAAACTACAACAATCTGCCTTCAAAGATACCTAGAAACTACAGAAGACTGGATGATGATAATTGTCAAAGAACATAAAAGAAGTTAGAAACTTTATTCAGCAATAAAGGAAGCCAAGAAGTTCAAAATGGTATTTCAAGTGGTTGAAGAAATGCAAGTAAACACACCACAAATACTGCAGCGGCATAAACGTTAAAAAAGAGAGTAAAATCAAATACAATGGATCAGATACAGAAACGAAGGCAAGATAAACCGCTTCACAATCAATAATCTGACTGTACCAAACAAGTTGATGTAGACAAACCTCGTACCTACCAGTGGTTACGTAGTTCAGGGTTAAAAGCTGAAACCGAAGCTTTTATTCTTGCTACACAGAACCAGTGTTTATTGACTAGAAATTACCAAGAGCACATACTGAAAAATTGTGTTGACCCCAAATGCAGATTTTAGTGACAAATATTCAGAAACAATTGATCATCTTGTATCAGGTTGCACAGTGTTTAGCACCCACTGAGTATAAAACTCGGCATGATAAAGTAGGCCAATATCTGCACTGGAAAATATGCAAATTTACGGAAAGAAATTCGTATGAACATCACCCAGATCCGGTTAGAGAGATAGGACCTGTAAGAATTTTATGTGACTTTAAAATACACACAGACAGAAAAATCAAAGCTAATCGCCAAGACATCATGTTCAAAGAGCACAAGAACAGAATGGACATTTTTAATGACATGGCAGTAATTTATCTTTGAAGATCTTCAAACAAACAAAAAAAAACAAAAAAAACTATCGAAATACAAGGATCTTTAAGTGGAAATGTCAAAATGAGGCACAAGAGGACATCAATAATTCCAGTTGTAGTTGGAGCACTCGGATTGATTAAAAAAAATATACTCACAAGTACAGTTCACGCATTACGAAGAAGTTTATTTATGTAAAATGTGTGTGATCTTAGGGGTTTGGAATTTATTTTACAAAGATGATCACAGAAAATGTCATGAAGATCTCTGGTTTTGATCCGGGCGTAAATGTATATACAACAGAAACTCGAAAAAATAATAATAATAATAATAATAATAATAATAATAATAATAATAATAATAATCGCCGTCCGTTGTTGTGCTAGATAAATGCATCAAGACTTGTTATATTATTGTTGTAGCTATAAAAAAATGACACAAATAGAGCAAAGTGATTGAGAAAATTAAAAACTAATCTGATTTAAAAGCTGAGATGGCAAGATAGTTTGGAATGCAGGAACGAAATATCAAGGTGATTCCAGTGGTGACTGACACACTGGGATAAATCCCATTAAAACTGTGGCCTTCTTGACCTGGTGGGGATTCCATATCAACTTGGAATCATCGAAAAATAGGCTATTTTGAGTACTGTGCATATTTTGAAGAAAGTATTGTCTTTCTGAGTTCATCACTGTATTTCAACAAATTAATTACTGTACCTGGTGTATTAAAAAAAATATACACTGTGTGACAAAAGAATTTTAAATATTTAAATATAAGTAATAAAATTAATCATATTTTTTTTTAAAATTCTTGCATGCAAATTCAAAGTTTTAAAATAATTAAACAATTTTTTGACAAAGGCAAAATGATTTTTTGACAAGGGTGACTTTTTTCCTTTAGCGAATTGAAAAAGAATCTGAAGGTTCTCTTGTGTTAAATGCAGACATAAAACATCAATACACACAGACAAAACAATCAAAGCTAATCGCTCTGACTTCGTGAATTAGAGACCGCAAAGACAAAATGTGCCTTCTTATTAACATGACAGTCCCTACAGACTGCAATGTATCATTGAAGTTCTTCAAAAACCTATCAAAATACAAGGATCTTGAAATCGAAATCTCAAAAATGTAGCATATGAGGACATTAACAATTCCTGTTGTAGTTGAAGCCCTCGGATTGATTGGAAAAGATTCCAATAGACTCATTGAAGTGATCCCTGGTAGCACATGCCTTAAAGAAATACAAAAAAACTGTACTCACAATTACCACCCACAACTTACGAAGGGTTTCATCTATGTAAAATATGTGCGATTTTTATTCAAAAATGCTCAGTGGAAAATACGATGATGCCATTTCTGACCTTAGGTCTCCGGAAGAAATGAGTATACACCAGAAACCAACGGAAATAATAATAATAATAATAATATCAAACTTGTAGAAAGCTTACGCACGGTCTTCAAGAACGTGGGGGAGAGATCCACCATCTCCCAGTATAGATCAGAAACCTTTTTTTATGGCTATAATCAACAAGAAGGTCGTTGATCACCTAGGAAAGAACAACCACTTGGGCAACGAGCAGTACGTGTTTTGATCAACCCGATCCATTGCTGATATCCTAACTACTATTCACAGCAATAGTGAGGCTCTTAACGACAAATACACATTAAGGATCATAGCATTAGTTATTTCAATGGCATTTGACAAGGTGTGGCACAAAGTTTTGCTGCTCAAGTTCTCCTTCGTAATGCAATAATTTAAATGCAACGTCCCCCTGATTGCACTTTACTTTTTCTACTCATTACTTATGTTTCTGTTCTTAATTCCTCCACACCTGTAACTCCCTGTGTGTTAGTGGCTGCATTGCTTTGCTTGGGTGACACTGATGAAAAAAAAATCTGAACATTTATGCCGATGATACGAAGATATGTCGGTGCACCTCTGAAACTGCTGATGATCAGAGATTGGCAGCTGACCTCTCACCCGATCTAGCTCTAACAGCTCAGAGGGTGAAAAACTGGCTAGTTACATTCAATGTTTTGAAACCCAAACTAGTTACGTTCCATCACCGCCGATCGGACCTCGAACTACCGCCAGTCTCGATGAATGGCTGTTCCCTCGAGGAGACATAGTCCCTTGATAGACTAAAAAAAAAAGTAAATAGCGCAGTCACTCGAATCCGAAGATACCAGTCTACTACGGCGGTTAGCTAATCCCCATTGCAGACAACTTCTCAGGCGCATTTGTGTCTTTTTCAACACCCACCGAGCCCGCCTGTGGTTTATACTGCAACTATGCTGAGCGGACCTTAGGCAAAGTTTCTGGGAGAAAGCGCGTTATCTAGCGTGATCAACAGTCTTATCAAGGCCAGCACGCTCAAACCCTCGGTCACGATGACTTGTGTCATCGTGCTAGCACAACCATCGATGGCTCCCAAGGGTTCCGTCTATCCAATTTCACTCACAAAACATGGATCAACCCGTGGTATGGTTTTCAGGCACTTTCCAAAAGTGCCGCACGATGGGATCGCCTACCTCCAGACCGATAGCATCAAGAAGTCACCTTCCTTACAACGGTGAGATTCGAACCCTGGTCAGTAAGCGAACGTTCTAAACACACGACCTCAAGCGGAACTCGTACATACGATCCATCGTAAAAGATGCAGGAAAAATGGTCGGCTCCTTGAACCTCTCTAGTAAGTATGTGAACCGCATGCTATCCTTTACAAGGTCTAAAAGGGAGTACTGTTGTCATGTTTAGGCGGGAACTGCCCAGTCCTCACTCTCCAGTCTCGATAAAGCCCGAAAGAGCCTCCCAGCCCTTGTGGGTGACAATTTATTTTCCACCCTCCAACCTCTTCTCGCAGGCGTTAAAAATCAACCAACCAAAAAATAAACATGAAATAACTCTTACGACATTAATCCATATAAAATCCTACAATTTCTTAAAGAAATTAAACTGTATGCCAAAATATAACTTTAAAAAAACTACAACATAAAGCACATATCACGGCCTCTAATTCCCCTGTCGCTACTTCCATGGAAAGTGCTCGGACGAAATACATTCCTTCCAACAGTTCTAACCTTCATGGCTAGGACCCGCCATGATACTCACATTGTTACAAACGACCACATTCCATACGTGTTCCACTGGTGAGATGTAAGTTACACTCGAACAGCTTCCTCCCGCGTACCAGTGCTCTGTGGAAGAGGCTGTTTCTCTGATTATTACAATCTCAATCTATTCAAGTGTAGAGTTAATCGTTACCTCCCTCTCTTATCTGCATAAACTTCCTTTAAGGTAACCTTCTACATCTTCTACCACTAGAAGAAGAAAAGGAAAAAAGAAAAAGAAGAGAAAAGAAAGAAAGAAGAAAAGAAAGAAAGAAAGAAGAAGAAGAAGAAGAAGAAGAAGAAGAAGAAGAAGAAGAAACTTTAAAAAAAAGAAATAGATGAACTTACCTAAGTTTCTCTCCGGCTGCTTTCGAATTTGAAATATCACAATGGTACAGCGGTCCTGTGTTTTCAGCCGCTTCACACAAAGCTTCATGCATTTGATATTGCAGAATGGCACTGAAGAAGTACCTGCCAGTAATAATAATAATAATAATAATAATAATAATAATAAAAGATTGAAGCGCGGGAAACAAAACGTTGGTATTAATCTTTATTTTCCGGATCTTTCTAAAAACATTATTCATAATTTTGAATAATTCGCCTTTTCTATATATACTTTAACTTAAACTTTTCCCTTTTCTATATATACTTTAATTGTTCTGATGACCTTTCCTCTACTGTACTTAGACTTTATGGTTTTAAGCTCAGTACTCGATTGGCGGCAAGGTATCTTGCAGTTGAAATGTGTCAATGTAACTTTCACTTGTGGAACTCTCTTCCAGCTTCATGCTTCTCTGTAAATTATGATCATCAAAACTTTAAATGCTATGTCAGTCGTTACTTATTTCTTCTTGATTCTTGTTCTTTTATTGTTCTCTCTCCTTAATAGCGTTTTTACTCATATTCCTTAATACTCAGTAATCCTTTGTGTCTCATTGGTGTTACTGCCTAGATTTTTAAAAAAATGTATGCAACGGTGTTGTGTAGAAAGACAACCGACTAATTGTTTAACATGGACTCGTCCACCCGCTACGAGTACACCTTCTGCTTATAGGAACGTTCATCGCAAAGTGGGTTGTACGCATTGCCGCACTGAAGTACGGATTTCTCTGTTACAGCATTATTCATTCATGTCTCTCATGTGATTAAACCTGTTCTTAACACAAACATTTGTGCAAGTGTTTCCTTTCAGTATGATTAGCCAGAAGTACGAGCGTTAAACGAAATTTATAACAAGCAGTAAGCCGTTTCACATGAATCTGATTGTAGGCCTTCAGGTGGTTTCATGAATTTCGGAGAATTGCTGTGTACGTTGGACCTGACACGTTGGTATTACTTCCATGCTTGAAACAGTGGTGAAATCATCTTTCCTGCACACGTAGAATAGGTTCAAGATGACCACATCGTAAAGACGCCCGCCAAGTTCGCCGCATTTTAATGTCAGCAGTGGTAGATAAAACAGGACATATCAGAGCAAATTCGGTTCCAGCACTGATTCAAGTAATTTGTCCGTTAACTGTTTACTTAAAACGGGATTCCTGCCATTCATACCTCAAGCCAAACATCCACTTACACCATCAGGCTTTCGTGTTCATTTCTAATTAGTTTTTCTACAGGTATATACCTGGGAGTTCGAATGGTTCTCTGTAGGTTTCAGTGGTGAGAGCCAGTTCTACTTTCATGCAAGCGATTGTCATTTGCAGGAGTAAAACATTACGTATATACAGATCCTACACCTGGTGCTGGGGACTATATTACAGCTCTTTGCTGTTCGTGGAAGGAACATTGAACAACGCCATCTACATTCATAAGATATTGTTCAGTTCGTTTTTCTGTAATATATTTGACAACTCTTCCGGCCGCCATGATCATCTGATATATTCCCGATGGAAAGTGTATACATAGTACATGATATCTCACCTGATATCATGTACTAAGTGCATAGTACATGACACATTACGTAACTTATTCAGTTATCCCACCTACAACTCATGTATTGCGTCAGCAGGAGAAAGTTACGTCAAATATTGGATTGCAGGACGGTATTCGTATGCATCCGTGAGTAATGCCCAGTGAGGATAAACAGTGTATTAATATAAACTTTGATTATCTGTCGATATTTCTGAGATGAGGTATTATGTACACTATTTACATTATTCAGACTGGGGTAGACTGTTCATGTGGCGAGCGAAATAAAGGGTCTAGTTCGACATTCCAACCACCTGAAAAGGGCCGGAGCGTACAACGGCCAAAACGTTGTGATAAATATGGCAACAAAGATGAGGACAATAGTCTGTATAAAGTAAATAGTGAACTTAAAGTAGTTTTGATACTAAGTGACTTTTACTGTAATTCGGCGATAATACGTTTGTATCGTATGCAAATTAGATAAGATTAGATGGAAAACAACTGGCGAACATGGGGGCTATGCCAAGCAAACCCAGCTGATATTCAGGACACGAAGAACTGTACTACGACTACTACTACGCAGAGAGATATCCAAAACATAACAACCTTGACGTTTAATCCTGAGTATAGTGAAGTACGATGGAGTACTTCACTATATTCACTATAGCGGCTCGGACTGAGAAATGGGAGAGCTGATTTCGAATTCCACTCCAGCTACATTCACTTACGTGCAAATACCCTTGTAAATCCATCGAATCCATCTCTCCCTCGCCAGAACAGACTGGGCAACAGGTCTAAGAGAAGGAAAACTCTGAATACAAAACCTGGTCGAGTGGTCAGTGACTAAACCAGTTCCCCCTCTAGACCTTCTTCTGGCGAGGAGATTGATCGGAAGCCCATCAACACACAAAAAAGTTTTTAAAAGAAGCCTCGGACCCCCCTCCCAGTGTCATCACCCATCAACCCCAACTATGGTTTAAATAGTAATTAACTACACTCCATGAAGACATTGTCAATCAGAGATTGGTTCTTCCAATAAGAGTAAGAAGGACCTGGATTTGGATAGTGGATCACATGTACAAGATTTGCAAATTTATTTTCTATTATCTCTTTGATGCCTGTATTCCTGAACAATTTTAACCTTTCAACCTGAGCTCCTGAGTCAAAATTCGCAAATAATTGGTATGTAATATTTCACGGTAGATATAAAAATAGTTACAAGTGTTTACCCACAGTTCAACCGGTGGCTGGGCATTTGTTTCATTTTTGTCTACCGCCGGTAAAGCGGTGGTCAGGTTTAATGTATCCATAAATATTGCATTAAAATTTTTAATTGCTTCTGCAATATCACTACCGTTCCAGCATTCATACAGTAAGTAGTGGCAAATTTATTGCTCATTTTTATTTTAAAATTTTCCGTAGAGTTAAATTATGGAATGCGCCATAAACAACACTCTGTCGGACAGAAGATAAGATAAATTAATTCTAGCCGTGTTTTTTACGTAGCGATACCTCATTTGGTTGATTCATAATTCAAAGCGATGAAATACGTAATTAATTTCCGAACACCCTAAAAGAAGAGACGATGAACTAATTCTAGACTTTGTTTTGCACCACTCAACCGTGATACTGCCTTGGTTGTTTGATTCTAAATTCGGAGCGATGAAATACGTAATTACTTTCCGAACGCCCTAATAAAAAAAGATGATAAAATAATTCTAGACGCCGCTCCAACCTTGGTGAATGGTATGAATTAGCGATTTATAATGTATTTACATTCGAAGCTTAATTTATGATTACTTGGGATTAATAGGGGCTTTTATTAATACAATTTCTTTATTTAGACATTAAAAATGATTTCTTGTAATTTACCAGCATCTGTCGTTCAAAACCACTTTCCACTCTTTAGTCCCGAGCCGAATAGTGATTTTCCAAGCGTAGCTCGGATGTGGTACAAGGCCGAAAAAATGATTTCCTAAGCGTAGAATGTATGGGACACCCATTGAGGATCGAACTCACTACTCAGTCATAATTGTTCTAGCAACACAACGAAGTGCCCGAGTCCCGAGCCGAATAAGCGACTTAACGTTAGGTATGACCACGTTAATATTAATAACCAGATCAGAAAATTGAGTCCTATGGTACTCTAAGCAGTTATTTAATCATAATAATTATTAGTAATAGTATTATTAATATATATATATATGAACGCTTTTGTAAGGTCGGGAAGTGAGCAATCGGACGCCTTTTTTCGTCTCTAAAGGTATAAAACAAGGCTGCCTTCTTCCTCTTCATCTCTTTGCACTTTTCTTTTCTGCTATACTTGAAAAAGCATTCTCTGACTTAAGTGAAGGAGTCAATGTTGAATTCAGAACAAGTGGAGGTCTATAGAATCAGCAACGTTTTAAAGCACAATCGAATATTGGTCCTCAGATCGTACGCGATCTTCTCTTTGCAGATGCTGCTGCTCTATTAGCACAGAGTCTAGAAGACATTCAAACTATCCTTGAAAAATTTTTTGAAACAGCGAAACCATTTGAACTCCCTATCAATATAAAGAAGACTGAGCTAATATACCAGCCAGTATCAGGCAATCCATCTCTCACAAATCCTTCCGTATTTATTGACTGTACAGCATTAAATACTGTTGAGGCTTTCACATATCTTGGATCAACAGTCACTTCTGATGGAAAATGGATAAAGAAATCGAATCTCGAATAGCCAAAGCCAACACAGCATTCGGTAATCATAAATATAGGTTAGGGAGAGCTCATCCGCGATGTACTTCTCCCTCCTTCTCTTCCTGGCTGGCGAAAACATGTCGGTGGGCAGCTGAGGACGTGGGCTAGCACAATCAAGGATGACCTAGCAGTACTATCGGGTCCACAAGTAGTTGGTCTTCGACGATGGAATCGCGATTAGCTCGCCATTTCGTGTGACCTGGCTCAGGATCGTCGAACATGGGCAGCGATGGTCCGTGATGCTGTACTTGCTCGGGAGGAAGCCGGTTCAACCCGACCAGGGTGAAAACCGATACAATTCAAGTCAAGAAAGTTAAGTTATGGAACCCCAACTACGTGTCTCTCAGAGTAAAGATCTACATATACAGATCAGTCGATCTCTCAGCCCTATGGTGCTGAAACTTGAACCTGTACCGGAAGCACATAAATCAACTTGACGCCTTTCACGTGCGCTGTCTTCGTACCATATGTGATATAAAATGGAATAGTGCATACTGAAGAAATGTATATGCATTGAAACCATTCTAGCAAAGATACAACTTAGGTGGGTTGGTCATGTTTTGAGAAATGGATGAGCATAGACTTCCAAAAAAGCTGCTGTATGGACAACTACCAAACTCCAAGCGTTCAATTGGGCGTCCATTTTTACGCTACAAAAACAAATTGAAAGACAACTTGAAACATCTCAACTTTGATCTGAAAACCTGGGAAGCTCAAGTATCAAACCGAAAGGAGTAGCGTAGGACGTATTTCATTAAGTTAAAGGGTCCAGCTTCGTCAAGCTCTGAAGCAGAAACGCAATTAAAATCGTGCTTTAACAAATTTCATCTGTCAGTGTGGCTTTATCGCACGTAGCAAGGCTGGGCTAGTATCGCACTTAAGAAAGCACAAATGAAATATGTCTTTCCATTACCTGATTCTCTCCACAGTAGCCCCTGCTAGAATGCATAAGTGTAAAACGAAAGGCACTATCCACTGACCCTCATTTATCTTTTGCTATAGGAGAGTTCACTATATATATATATATATATATATATATATATATATATATATAGTGGATAAGATATATGCTTTGTGAGTTTCCTACATAAATAAAATTATGGTAGATAAATGAATAGCTTCTTTAAAAACCAGTAAATAATTTAAACGTATAGAATTACTTGGTAAATTAATATGCAACTGCTGACTAAAGATTCTTTATATAAGATGTTAATAACTGTAAGCAATCGATGCAAAATGTCAAAAATCCCAACCAAATACTAATACAAGATGTTACCAATACTATCAGGAGATTAATACACAATTATATTAAATCTAAATTAATCATACAAGTAGAAAGCCATATATGGTGCAACACAGTTCGACTAAAATCTAAGAAAAAGCTGAATTATAAGGTAAAAAGTATATATATATATGAAATTTGGGGCTGATATTTTAAGATAATTTCACAATCCGACTCATATCTAAGATATAGCTATCATCATCTATGATCTGTGCCCCTTCAAGACGTGGGCTATCATAGCTTTCCACAACTTTTTATCCTTTAGAGTTCTTAGTAAGTTTTGCCGTTTGGTTATCCCTCCTAATCTCTGTTTTGCCAAACATTGGCACGAGCTGGTTAAGTAGTTTACTCGCTGATTCTCTCTGTTCCACTTATGAAACTCTTAAAGGTTCTCTTTCCTCATTGTATGTTTTGGAACTCCAAAAGTGTCTCTCTGATTCTAAATATACGCATCCTCTTTGTTTGCGTTTTCCTTAAATCTTCATCATTGCTCATATGGTATTCTCAGTGTCCTTCTGTAGAACAACATTTTTGTTGCTTGGGTGTCTTCTTCATTTGTGAAGAAATTGCCCAGCATCCACTGCCATGTAAGTAGTCCCCCCCACACATACATTTTCCTTTCTGTGTCTGCTATCAACACTGAGGCATTTGCATATCTTATGTTGTCCACACACACTCACACTTCGTTACATAGAAGTTCAGCACTCTTTGTGTCTAACGAATTTTTCCTGTTTTTTAATATTTTACTGAGTTTTGGGAAGGCATATTTCTCTATTCCAATGCATCTTCAGATTTCAGTGTCACATTTTCCGTCCTCTGTTAAAACATATCCTATATATTTAATTACTTGCTTGTTGCATCTCCAGTTTCTGATTCGCACGTTTGGCACCCTTTTTGCTGACAACCATACATTCTATCTTCGTACAATTGCTGGTTAGACCATTCTTCTCACTAACCTTTACTGCCTTCTGTAGGAGTTCCTGCAGTTTCCTTCCTGTGTCTATCAACCCTGTGTCATTTGCATATCTTAGGTTGTCCACACGCACACACATACACGCACACACACAAGTTTCCTTTCTGTGTCTGCTATCAACACTGACGCATTTGCATATCTTATGTTGTTCACACACACAAACACAAACACAAACACACACATGCACAAGGCAAGCATATCTTGGCGTTAAGATCAGCCCAATACTATTTCAATGCAATCTCCACATTAGTCTTGAACTAAGATAAACGTAATAAATGACCATACTTACCTTATATATGGTATATCTACTGCAATATGATACTTTGAACCTGGATCAAAATCAGACTCGGAACGACTCAGTGGTGGGTGGATACCCTGAAAATGGCGCCTTTGAATAAAAAATAAATAAATAAATAAAACGAAATAATTTTAAATATAACTTAAGCGTGCTACTAAGTTGGCATCTGGGTCTCAGCCTTTTACTGTCGTAATCGCCCCATCTACTGTAACAGCTTCTCTCGCACTTCCCGACAGTGGAACTCCCTGCCTCTTACTTCCTTCCCTGATAACTTTTTTTCACAAATTTAAGTGTAGTATCAATCGACATCTCACTCAAATACATTTGTGTTTCTTCACCACGCACAAAGCCAACCTATGGTTTATACGGCAGCTATGTCGAGGGGACATTAGTTACTGTTACTGGGAGAGAGCGGAATAACCTGGTGTGATCAGCAGTTGAATATGGCCAGCAAGTTCAAAACCCTCGACCACGGTGACTTGTGACTTCGTGCTCGCACAACCATCAACGGCTTCCGAACAATTTTCTCTGCTCAATTTCTCTCAACACCTGGATCAACTTGTGGTATGATAACAAAGACTTACTAAAAATGTGCCCGTACTGGCATATTCTCTCCAGAAGGATATTATAATAATTCACTTCCTTGAGAAATTGACCCTGGTGAGATTTGAACACGGATCTTATGGTTAACTTTTTTTCACTATCAAAAGAAAATAAATTCACGGCACACAATATCACTGTAAATACGTTCTATCGGCCTTCATATCGGTCTAAAAACATCCATTCCTATGAAACACATCCATTTCAGTTATAGAACGTTATTTTAAATATATCAATATTAAATTTTTCAATATTTATGACTTACAAAAACAGTTTACCTCATACGGACCCATGATTCGGTGTAATTTGAAGGGGAGATAACTCCTCGATACACATCCCAACGCCATTTCTCCAACATGTAACTGAAAGCGATCATCGGTATTTTCTCCAAAGCTTCGTGCATGAGAAGATTTATATTACTTTCTGCAAAAAAGGAAGAAAGTTAGTAAAAGCTTAACGTCTCCTGTTAGTTCTTCTCAGTACGTAGCTTCACACAATAATTATATCCACTCAGTTCGATTATTTCTAGTCTTATACGATATGTATGCAGATGTATTCACGATAAATGATACAGTAGTCCTAGTTAGTTTGAGTGGCATTTCTTTCATATTATTACTCTTGCTTTTACACGAAATATTACGTCGTTTGAATTTTTTGCATAAAGCAATATCAATTATTGTCTAGTATTTCTCTCACCTTATCTGATAACTTAATATTATTGCTTGTAGTAATAATATTAAGTTATCAGAATTTCTTAGATCTAACATTGTTGATTAATATTAGTATTTCTTTCATCTTATTTATTTTCCTTGTACAGCTAGACGTGAATTTCTTAGATGAAATATTGCCAGTTATAAATTTTACTAATATTTCTGAGGGAATTTGCCAGGATATTTTTTGTATTTCTTTACAGGAAAATTTGGAATAAAACGAACTCAAGACTATAAAATAAATAATATATTTTATTTGATTCTGTGATATGTGGTGTAGCAAAATGTTCGTTTATGTCGGATATTGGTCGCCGTCTGGAGAAAGTCCGTTTCGGTTCGGTAGTAGGTAGTTTCGGGGTCAGATCTTCCTAGTAGTAACCATCTTAAAAATAGATCAGCGCTAATCTATTGTGTTTTACTCGGCTCCAAGAAGGACAGAGATAATCATTAGCAGACGCATGGTTGTTTTCTCTAGAGATCGTATCTCTTGTTTCGTAGTTTCTCTTGCCATCACTTCTGTTCGTCTAGCCCAGAACTGTCATCTTATATCCTTTTGACTAGGCTCCCAGACTCTTGAAGTGCTCAATAAAATGCGCTAAAACGGAAAAACAGTTAAAACAAAAACAAAACAAAACAAACGGAGAAATCACCAAGACAGACATGTCCAAAGAATGCATAGCTAGAAAAAAAATTGGAAAGGACCAGATTTAATAACTCTGAGCATGAGAAACAACATCTCCTTCTCCTTTTCGCCTACACAATGAAAGAACATGTTTGAAATTTTAACATTAATAAAAAGATTGTTTACAAATAACCTTTCAATAAGTTTGCGGAAGAATAAAATTAACAATGACGGCCATGTTCATATGTGTGTTAAACATTACACTATAAACGCAATCAAAAAGTTTCCTCCGATTTATTTTCGATATAAACCTGTAACTTTGTAGAAGCTAGTAAATCGCAATTTCGACATTTGGCTTTCATATATAAGAGAATCGTTAGAATAAATTATTTTGTCAATTAAAACAAAGGTTAATGAGACTGCATTTATGTTTCATATATATACTTGAATTATTTTGTTCTTCACCTGGTGTTCGAAAATAATAGCAAGGGTGAATAGTATCTTCACATATAAAGTAACAACTGGTTTATAAAATTAGGGTAAGCAAAGGGGAGGGGAAAAGAAAACGGAAAATAATCACTTACGAGGGTCGGCTGAAAAGTAATGGTAGAACTGTGAAATCTGGCATGCATTCATTTCAATTCTTCTTATTAATAACTGCTTTGTTTATTCCCCAAAAAGACTTTAAAAAAACTTATCTTGAAAATGAATAGTATACGGCATTATCGTGGTGTTTTCAAGTACCTGCAGCAAAAGAGTTTAGCCCCCAAGGACATTCATGGTTGGTACATTAGGGGATGATGCCCCAGCTTTATAAACAGTGCAAAAGTAAGCAGCTGTATTTAGTAGGGGGAAAGGGTAGTCTTAAAGATGACCAAAGTTTTGGATGTCCTGCAACTGCCACCACTAGGGAAAACATTGATCATGTTTACCACATGGTGATGGATGACAGGTGATTGACTATAAATCAAATAGCCAATGCTGTTAGCATATCATATGAGAGACTTAAGAATATTCAGCACAATGAACTTGGCATGACGAAGCTTTCTACTCGGTGAGTGTCACCTCTTTTAAGGCCTGATCAAAAGCACACCTGGCTGATAATATCACGGGAAAACCTGAGATTGTTTGAGGCAGATCCAGCTCGTTTCCTTGAACTTTTCATTTGGACTCATCACTTTGAGCCAGAGACAGACAATCCATGCAGTGTAAACACCCCATCGTAACCTGCTGCAAAGAAGGCCAAGGTCGTTTCATCTGCAGGGAAGGTTTTGACTTCATTTTTTGGAATACAAGATGCATTGTGTTTATTAATTATTTTCAAAAGGGACACATCATGAACAGAGATTATTAAGTCATCTTGATGAAGCAGTCAAGAAATAGTATCAAGAAAATTAAAACTGACGAAAGGGGTTTTGTTTCATCACGACAATGCCCAAGAACACAAGTCCTTAGTTTCAATGGTTGCTGTTCAAGACTGGCTTTGAACTGGTTGATCACCCTACCTATTCTCCTATTTGATTACCATCTGTTCCCCAACATGAAAAAAATATCTTGGCTGGGAACCAATATCTCAGTGATGATAACATCATATCTGCCGCTGATGACTTTTTTGAACAAAACGGGTGAACAGTCTTCTTTAAACAGTCAGAAACAGTTAATAATAAGAAGATTTGAAATTAAGGCAAAATTTCACATCTCTAGCATCACGCCTTCATAGTTAGTCTATGAACTTTTCAACCCAGCTTCGTATCACAATAAATAACTAGAAATAACTGGCAAATAACTTCAAATAACCTCTTAAGAAACCAAACGAAAATAAACACATGACGTAATATAATTGCGTGGAAGAATTTCATTGGATGATGTCAGAAAGATCGAAACATGAGAAAACGGGTAACATCAGTAGTACGCATATATTAATGACGTAATCATGGTTTCAAAGATTTGATATTTTAAATAAAACAATCAATCACCTGATGGACCCCTTTCTGCCTCCTATCAGCATGGCTGATTCTGACCCCACCCCTATAAGAATGATTCGTTGTGCCTTCTTGGATTAACAGTCTCGGCTGACATGAAATAGGAAGATTATATTGAACCCGTTGTTAAGTTTGCAACTAAGAAAGTTTATTCAATGTGTCGTGCTAGATAATTATTCTATTCTGAATCTATCTTACATATTTATATGTCTGTCATTCGTCCATGCTTTGAATATTGCTACTACATATGGCCCGGTGATTCTACTGTATATTTAGAGATTCTTAATAAAATCTTGAGAAGAATCAGCAATATTATTGGTTCTGTCCTGACATCTCGGCTTCAGTTACTTTCCCACCAACGCAATGTAGCTTCCCTCCGCCTTTTCTATAAATACATTCATGGTAATTGTTCGGATGAAATCTTCGCTATTGTACCCAGACTTTATGAATTTAAGTGCAGCAATAGATTGGCGGCAAGGTCTCATCAATTCACAGTTGAATTGACTAGATGTAAAGTTCTATTCTAACAGTTTCTTTTCTCGCACTTCTCGCTTGTGGAGCACACTTCCTGCTATATGCTTTCCAGCCAACGGTGATCTTGAAAAATTTAAATGCCATGTCAATCGTTACCTAATGTCTTCTTCATTGCTCTTCTATTGTTCTCGCTCCTTAATAATATTTCTGTTTTCTAACTTTTTCACACTCAGTAATCCCCTTGTGTGTTAATGACTTTATTGCATTTTGGGGTGACTTCGATAAAAAAAAAATCAGTTCTTGAAAATCATACAATTGTGATGTTACTTATATTACACATCCATGTTGTAAATATAGCAATGAAGATGAGGATAACAATCCAAATAATGTAAATAATGTAAGTAATCATAATACCTCATCTCAGAGATATAGACAACAATTGTGATGTTATTTGTCATACGCTACTAATGAAAACAGGATATTCAATCTGTCATAGTAACATTACTGTTTGCTCAACTCTGGACTTTGTTAATTACCGTCGGCCAATAGATATGTATGTCTTTAGGGGTCCTTCCCTAAACGTGGGCCTAACATTCTCGTGTTGATGTAAGAACCACCTCCTTATGAGTATATATATATATATATATATATATATATATATATATATAACTGCCACCGGTTTTTCCAACGTGTGAATATGCTCGACTGGGTCGATAATATAGATGTATCGTGATCATTCATTGATGACCTGAGGCGCAGATCTTCACCCACATTCCAGTTAGAAGGTTAATCATCAGGTCAACCCTGCACCTGAAGGACACTAATTGCAAAGTTTATTCAGGTATGATGCAATTGCTGCTGCAGGTATTTTAAGAAACTAGTGGAAATTAATACTGAATAGCAATAATTCTTCATCTTGGAATCTCACACTAAAATTGCCACAGATGTGAATAATGTCTATACAAGTTTAAAGAATGCTTTTACCGTATTGATTCAGTGGTCGGTCTTGGGTAAAACCCAGCCGTCGCATGTGGTCAAAAGTCAAAGAAGACATCGCAATCGTATCTCCAACTGCCTCGTCCAACGCAGCATTGGCCGGGTTACGGTAAATATCTGGCTGTCCCTTATATGCCATATAATACACCAGGTGACCCATTTCATGGTGCGCGACCTTCCAGTAATAACTAGATGAAACATTTCCTGTGCACATTTTTACCCTAAAAAGGAAAGAATAAAATTACTTTATAACAATTTCAAATAAAATTAAAATCGGTGTCTTTGTTTCTTCTCCAATTTGCTTTCGTTTTAGGAATAATAATAATAATAATAATAATAATAATGAGAAGAAGAAGAAGAAGAAGAAGAAGAAGAAGAAGAAATCGAAATCTCAAAAATGTGGCACATGGGAACATCAACAATCCCTGTTGTAGTTGGAGCCCTCGGATTGGTTGGAAAAGATTCCAGCAGACTAATTGAAGGAATTCCTGAAAGCCCATGCCTCAAAGAAATACAAAAAATTGTTCTCACAAGTACAGCCCACACTTTACGGAGGTCTTTATCTATGTAAAAATTTTTTATTATTTTTGTCAGTCGAAAGTGTCATGATGCCATTTCTAACCTTAGGTCTCTGGGCGGGACACGGAAAGAAATGTCTGCACGCCAGAAATCAAAGGAAATAATAATAATAATAATAATAATAGTAATTATTTTCTTTACAAAAGAAATCAAAAGAAAGATGAAGAAGAAATTAAACAAGTTAAAAACGGAGTTTCAAATGGGTGCAGAAATATTGAAAAGCTCAATACACCGACTGAAGCTTCAAAATATTTAAAAAAAAAAAAAGAAAGCAAAAGCAAATGCAACCAACCAGATACAAAAACGATGGCAAGATAACCCTCTTCATGATCAATAACCTGCCCGTCCCAAACAAGTTGGTGTAAACAAACCTCGTACCCATCAATAGCAATGTAGTTCAGGATTAAAGGCTGAAACCATAGGTTTTATCCTTGCTGCACAGGACCAATGCTTGCTAACTAGAAATTATTGAGCACACATACTAAAACTTTGTGTTAGCCCAAAATGCAGATTCTGTGATAAATATTCAGAAAGACGCATTCCAAAATCTAAGCAGAGTATTAAGAGACAGGAAAATTTCGTTGGAAACAAACAAAAGAGTACTGAACTGTTACGTGATACCTGTTCTCCTGTATAGAAGCGGATGCTGGACAATCTCCTCAAAGATGAATAAGAGACTCAAAGCAACATAAATGTGGTTCTACAGAAGGATGCTAAAGATACCATGGGCCGAACATTTGAGCAACGACAAGGTTTTGGAGAGAATGGAAACAAAGAGGAAACTCATACTTGACATCAGGAAGAGGCAGTTGAAATTTATCGTGCACTTAATGAGAAAGGAGGGTTTGGAAAATCTGATACTCATAGGACGGATAGAGGAAAAGAGGGACAGGGGAAAGCAACGCGTGACATACTTAATGGGCTTGTGCAAATGGATAGTAAAGCAGGGTTTGGGAGAAATAACAAAAAGAAACTATTAAGAGTTACAGGGACGGGAGGATGGGAGGGCCATGATCGCTTACGTCCTGAAGGGACATGGCACATAAAAAGAAAAAGAAATAGCTTTATCATAAGTAAGCATTTATATTTGAAACGCCACATCAGCACACGAAGCATTGGACGTGAAGCCTGATTTCTGATAAAACGAATGCGTTTCTCTTGTAACAAAAGCAATCAATTGGATGTGAGAGAGTTGCTTTCCGCCTACTGGTTGTACTTGATATTATCTGTAAGAATCTGATCGTTATCTTTCTCGGTATATTGCTAGGACCTCGTGGGTTTAGTTTGCTTCGCATCATTAATAATACGACTTCCTACGACTTCCTACTTCTGAAAAAAAGATCTTAGAATTATGACGACAATATAATAAAACATATATGCATAAATTAGTTGTTTTCCAAAGTATATTATCACTATATATATATATATATATATATATATATATATATATATATATATATATATATTATTAGTTTGTATATATTAGCAGAAATTAAAAATAGCAGATAAAGAAAATAAAAAGAAATAAAATAATTAATCTATGACATTAATGGTTATTGTCTAGACTCACGAAAATATCCAAAGAAATAAGAAACAGCAGCACACTGATAGTTTTTCCCTCCTCCTATTGTAGATTCTCTGGATATGTGTGACTTAATAGGTAAAGATATTGTGTAGCTGTGTCATTTATGAAACACCAAATTTGTTTGTTGAGGCACTATATCTTCGAGGTGAGATTTGCTCTTGTCCTTTCTCTGATCACATTACTAATGATATAAGATATTTACTCGAAATAAGTTAATTCCTGGCAGATATCAACAGCATTTAAAAACTGCTGATGTCTAAACTACAATACAATGGGAATTACTCAACAAAAGGAAGCGCTGGATACATTTCCGAAAACAGAAATTTTATGTCAACTGTTTGCTGTCTACGCGTGTCCAGTGAGTCAGCCATTTTGAAAGAGGTTTATGGGTACGAAAAATTAGAAGGTAACTTCCTTTCATCATATAGACACTTTATGGTTATGTGTGTAACACTTCTTCAGAGGGGTTTGTTTATCATCTCTCATTTGCGTCTCTGTTTTGAGGCAGAGTGAAATTATACTGAGAGATGCCCAGCCCTGGGGAACAGCAGCACGAGGCCGCGCCCTCTCATTGCACCAGAGAGAGGGATCAGTGCTCGCACCGAGGCCAGCGCAACCGACGGTTGCGGGAGCTGAGGGCAATTTTTGTCCTGGTCCGGGTGTACGCGCTTTAAAAAAGACCTTGTTTTACAACATATCTTAGAGGGAAGACAGAGTAAATACCTAGACACTTTATGATTTATAATTAAAAATCTGCTAACAATCCTAATCCTTTTAAAATTAAATTAAAAAATCAATTGCATTTTAACGGACATTCGTATATATATATATATATATATATATATATATAAAGAAAAAATTTTTACCACATACAAAACACATTCATCTAAAGGGACCTTTTTCAACTATGGCTTCTTCAGAAAGATTCGTTGGAACGACCTTAATGAAAACGGCGAAACTGAAAAAGGCAGACACGGAGGTAAATAAGGAGGTCATAACTAATATAAATTTATTACTAAAAACAAACAAATTGGTGTTAATAAGCTCCTCGTGAGTATTACACATAAAAGTGCTGGATGAAAAAGGTCCCTTTAGAAGAATGCGTTCCGTCATTTTCATAGTTAAGTAAATGCAATTTTACTTTCCTTCGCCCCATCTCTCTCCCCCACCTCGTCTTTCCCTCCCTCTTATTCTAACATTAGATTGTCTATGGTGTGTGTATGTCACTACGAAATGTATCTTTATGCATTAGACAACATTCATATTTCTCTTACTTAAACCCCTTCCACCCATCTCTCCTAAAATTCTCTCTGTTAAGGTTTAATCTCCCTCCTCCTCATACTTACACTCTCTCTAAATTCTGTTTTTATTTCCGGAGTTGATTTTTCTGTTTTCTTTTTGAATTTGTAGGTCTGATGAATTGGATCGCATTTACGATTCCAATGGAATAAATTATGACCATGGAATATTAGTGTTTAAGCCTTTTTATTATATCCTTACTCTGTCCTGAGCATTGAGTTCTACCTGGATTCTTCCTCTTGGAATTTTTATTCAAAAAATATACATGTATGGGTATTTATATATTTTGCATATGTATGTATATTTACCACTAATATTATCTATCTATCTATCTATCTATATATATATATATATATATATATATATATATATGAATAAAGACAAAAGGAAAAATTATCTTAGCCGACAGGTTTTATCCACCTGAGGAATTTTATCAAGGCAAATGCAAGATACTTATTTTGTAACAAGTATTTATACACAAGAGGAGAAACGTTATTGGTTTTCCAAAATTTTAAAGTTAATGAACGTTCATAAATATTCATCAGGTTAGCTGAAAAGTAAGGCATGCTATGGGACAAAACGCGTCGGCTAAGATAGTGTCCTTTTACAGATATATACTATCTGAAATTTTTACTCACACATACAGACATATATATATATATATATATATATATATACAAACATATATAATAACATTTAAACAAATTATATATATATATATATATATATATATATATATATATATATTAAAGGTAACAAATCCGTTGGTATATAATCCAAGTGGTATCCACAAAAAGAGCTCAATATATTTATTATTACAGAGCAAATAATTATTAAACAATAAAATCCAAAATCACCATCAAATGGGGAATAGACGAAGATATCGGTCGTCTGTCTTATCCACCGTGGTGTGGACTAAGTTCGTTGTCAGAAATTTAACAGGGAAAGCTATAAATAAAAAAAGGAAAGCAACAGTCTAAAACAGAATTTATCCATTTCAATGTTTCAGTCAAACGAAAGGCAAGAAGCATCTATCAGGTTGGAAGATATTTGTTTTAACGTGAAGACGTTTTATAAAATATTAACCTTATGACATTAATTTCGGGTTATATGAAGAATGAAATATTAATTTAAAAGTGGAATAAAAGGGTTTTAAAAATAAATTTAAAATATATAGATAAAACGGATTGATGGAAAGAGAGTTGGGGAGATCTTAGAGGAGGGGAAGGTTATAAATTATAATTAATATAGGGATAGAGGTTATAGACATGGGGAAATATAGAAATTAGTTACACATTCGACATTTGAAGAGTTAGAGGGGGGAGTGAATATTATAGAAATATAGTAGCTAAGTTAAACTTATATTACGGAAATTTGAATTTGTTTTTATGTCGACATTTTAACACTAATTCGTTCCTCTGATTTAATAGATTCTTTTGTCTTTATTTACTTGGTCTTTTTCAATATTTTTATTTATACATGAATTTCTACATACACAAAAAGATACACACACACATATATATGATATAACGATGTATAATTTCGTATTATTTTATATATCAACAAACAGTATTTAGAAAAATAGTATGACAATTTAGAAAAAAGAGTTTTTGCGCGCATGTGCAGACGTGGCAACATTAACAAAGCCCAGTACGATGAAATACTAACGCATGAAATGCATCACAGAAACGTTGTTACCAATCTGTCATATATATATATATATATATATATATATATATATATATATATATATATATGGCAAAGAAGTATGACAAAATGGGAAAAGCTTTCGTGTGAGCTTTTCGTCCTTTAGGACTCCATCCGCTGAAATATTTAAGGACGAAACGCTTCACACGAAAATCTTTCCACTTTGTCATACTTCTTTTTCCTAAAATTGTTCTTGAGATATAAAAATACATATTGTTATCCCATTATATATATGAAAATTGTATAGATCTTTACCTGAAATCTTGTGTTTTGTGGAAGTCAAAGGCTGTCGGATGGCAATCCATCAAAGTCTTGGAAGATTTGGCAAAGATAGATTTTGTCCAAAAATCTCTGGACATTGGCTCAAAACCCAAGGATACATAAAATTCTTCAGCTTTCTTTTGAAGCTGTAGTGGGTCAAGGCTTTTCTGTTTGAAAATTTTATCAATATCTGGATAGTTAGTGTCTGGAAATGGTACAACCAGATTATATATACCACTCCAAGACTGAGCCCACATATTTCCTGCAAAATAAATTTGAAAATAAAGGCATTCATGCATAGAATCTCAGAAGATGAATTACTTTGGTGTACTAGTTAGTAAGCTAATATTATTTATCATTGTTATATTAATATGTGCTCTAAATTTATAACCTTGTGCCAGACAAATCAAATATCTTCCCAGCTTCACACTGCATATTTCATTACTACCCTTTAAATCCGAGTTTTAAATGGATGCCTAAAATTTGTGGCCTTATGCCAGATAAGTTTAATAACTGCTAGGTACTTTTTTACGTGCCATCTTGGGCGATCATAGCTCTCCACAACTTCATGGCTTTTTAGCTCTAAGCAATATTTGTCCCCTTCTTGACCCTTATGTCATCTATTTTCACAAGCTCGTTAGGTAGGTTACACGATGTTTCCGTCTTAGACTGTACTAGGTGTAGTGTCGCCCAATACCGCACAGTGCTACACAACCAAACATTGACCTAAAAACTCGAGTTATGTTCTTTAAGATTGAGGTTTCCATATGAACTCGTTCAGAAATTACTGTCAGCTCTATACAACTGTTTTCTCAAATTAATGGCTATAAATGGCTTTGAGCCAATTAAATCTGTATGTCCCAGCGAGAATATTGCTTTTTCAAACCTCGTGGACTGGTGATACAGAATAATTAACATAGAACTCTACCAAATAACAGAAACTAAATCATTTAAAGACTTTCAAAAACGGCATTAAACTAAAATTGGTATAACATATAATTTGAAAAGGAAATAATGGTACAATTAAGTTGTTGACATTCCACAGTACTTCAAAGAAAACATTAACCTGAAAACTCTAGCCATGATCTTAAATAGCCTTGTCAGATCAAGGTACACCAAACCCATTCAGAAAAATCTAAACTGACACTGTCTACTCGGCCAATGAATACCGAATGTTTCTTTATAAGGCAACCACTCTTGCTTTCGATATGTCTTGTCAGTGTCAAATTACAAGTCTTTTTTTTATCGCCGGCTTTGTCATACTGACTACTGCAGCAGTTTATTGAGCTAGATAGCTTGACGGAGCCCTGTTTTGAATTCAGAGTTTTCCCTTCTCCTCGCTACCCAAGGCTATAGAACCTAGTCTGTCCTACTATTTAGCCATAGCTGAGGGAGAAGAAAAGGTATTAGCATATAAGTGAATGTAATGTATTGAACTGGGATAGAACAGTCTACCCCAGTGAGCGAAATAAAGGGTTCAGTTCGACATTCCAACCATCTGAAGAAGGCCGGAGCGTACAACGACCAAAACATTGTAATAAATATGGCGACAAAGATGAGGACAATAGTCCGAATAATGTAAATAGTGTACATAATACTTCATCTCAGAAATATAGACAGATATAAAATCTTGCTTTCATTTAATGTGTTGTCTAGGAGTTGCTTCAGTTATTTATGTGTCTGCCATCAATACGGTGTTATCTGCGTATTTCATGTTATAAGATTGTGTGCACTAATATTAAATTCTGATATGGATTTTATTTTCTTAATATTGCCTTGATGTAGAGGTTAAACAAAGTTGGCGATAAGACATATCATTATCTTGAGCTCCTTTCTATTTTTGTATCCCCACTCAGTATATTTTGTTTTTGATAATAACTGAATTTAGTTATTGAAAGTAGACTTGAAGAGGTTAAGATTGGAATGATCGTGGAAGCATCATTTCAGGAGTTTCTTTCTCGAAGTAGCTTTTCTTAAGAAGAAGCTGTTCAAATGGAACTAGCTACTTACCAATGGAATGGAATACTGTTGAGGCGCACCCACCTTCTAACTAGTAATGGACTGGCCCCTCTTATATAAGTCAGCTCTGGAGAGAGAGTGACAGAGCGTCAGAGAGAGTGGTTCTGATCTCCAGTTGGAAATGAATTGGTCGGAGGTACAAGGGCGGGCCGAGGCCGCGGCTAGTCTGTGGTCTCGGAGGAGACTTTCCCTGAAGGGAAGGGCGGAAGTTTGTGTTTCACACATCTATTCGATCCTCCTCTACCGTCTTTCTGTGCTTCCACTCCCGTATGCCCGACTAATGTCATTAGTCAAGGCCTTGTTCTCTTTCTTGTGGAGAGGCAAGGCCCATATGGCATCTCGCGAGATCTGTTGCCTTCATCCCTCTGAGGGCGGTCTGGGTATGCCTAGCATTGAGATTCGTCAATATATGCTACGCATTACCTTTCTAGACCGAATGTGTCGCGGTTTGGATGAGGTGGGCACCTTTTGGAAAGAAGATGTCCGAAAACATTTCCCATCCCTGAGAAGTGTGCACTCGTGCGAGGAGGAGGCCGGTCGTACTCCTCGTGTCGAGTGCTCCTTCTACCGTGAATGTCGTCGTGCTTTGAAACTCCTCTTGCGGACGTCGGATGGCCTCTCCGACGCCCAAGCGTTGTCTCGTAAGGCATTATATCGAGTGTTAGTTAGGGGTTCCGTTCAAGATGGTCTGATGGACGAGCTCGGTCTTACGAAGCAGGAGGCTCGCTCGATATGGCCTTGGGCGCCTGGGTTGAAATGTCTCAATAACGATGAGGCATCACTCACCTGGCTGATGATTCGTGGGGCCCTCTGGGTCGGAAAAAGACTTTGTTCAGCAGGCTTGGAGAAATATCCAAACTGTCGTCGCTGTACTGGGAATGTCGAGACCATTGGTCACGCCTTTTTTCAGTGCAAGATGGTAGTGCCGTTGTGCAGGTTTGTTGAAGGCCTCATGGTTCGCATGCTGCAGGGAAAGTTTTTTTGTCCTGGAAGCCAGTTCTGTTTGTAGTAATGTGGTGCCGCAATTGACGAAGGCTGAACACTATGTGTTCTGTTGCTTACTAGGGGTTATGCGAGTCGTGATTTGGACGACGCGACAGAAGGGATTCTATGAAGGCGAGAAGTTCACCTCTTCCCAACTGATCTTGTACTTTAAGTATCTGCTTAAAGTCAAGATTAGGACGGAAAGGCGGCGGCTCCCATCATCAGAATTTGGCAAAAGGTGGGTGAATCTTGCGCGAATGTGTAGAGTGAAAGGGGCTGGCCTAGAGTGGCATTTGGATGTCGGTTAGGTACAGAATTTTGTCCTAACAGGGTTGAACATAAGCAACCCACCCAGATATTAGGCTAGACTAGGTTTTCGTTTTTGAAATTTTAGTTTCCCTTTTTTTTCCCGGTTAACTTAGCTAGGGTATGTAAGCTCATTGGTCCCTTTTATTTCTGTCCCTATTTTTTCCTTTTGTTTAATTCCCCATCCCCTCCCTCGTTAGGTGGTTAGTGATGTCAGTTTTCTGGTGGATGTGGGGCGCCTTTCGTTTCGTGTGTGTGTTTTCGTATTTGTTGTTGTGTATGAATGAGTGAGTGTTCGTGTGAACGCTTGTTGGTTTGAATGTGTCTTTATTTTCTTAGTCTCGCATCGATTTCGTCCGGTTAACTGATATTTCTGCCACATTCATAGTTTGTGGGGGGTTTTATTACTAACTCAATTTTGTTCAGTTTATTGTATATATTTAATTCACTTTGTAAATATTCATTTGGGGATTTTAAAAGTTGTTATTTTTATGACCCTCCCCCCATGAACAATATTTGTATATAAGGGGACTAGTTTGGACGTCATATAGAAACTGGGGTATTATGGTGGACGTAGTAAGAAAGGTAGGAGTGAATGTGATGTTTTGGTGATTGGAGTATTGTTGGCATGTTTGGGTCAGTGTCTGTGACTAGCTAAGTTTTAGATTTAAGACAGAAGAAGACCGTCATTCCCCATCCCCCTCTTTGGCCTTGAGCCGCATTTTGTATGTTTTAATGCAAATAAATATTAGCGTCAGAGAGAGAGTCAGCGTTAGCAGTCCAGATAAGCTTACCCGGTACATACCGTTGGACTATAGACTTTGGATATTGTTTCGTACTAACCAACCTTCGTTCTACTAATCACTCTATTGTTAATTGCTTTTATGAATATACCAGTATTTTCCTCTACAACTGTGTCTGTCTTGATTCATACACCGACACGCGGGAACCTCACAACATCTCAACAAATACGAAGGGAATGAGAAGGATCCGACCACGCATACGTGACTAGGGCTTCTTAACTGTAATGGTCTAAATTGGTAGAACTAAGGAATGAAGCACGTCAGAATCGTTACATTGCAAATAGCGATTAAGTTTTACATCGGAATAATAATCCATCATCTACAAGGCCACGTAGGCGTTTCTAATTCTGTTCAGACTGGAAAATTAGGATTGTTTCATATCACTGCATTATGCGCATACACACAAATAATTAAATGTAGCAGAGTGGGGTTACTTCCCTTAGATACGTAGCTATGTGACATCAGAATAGTCATGTGCCCGTTAATATGTGATAATATTATTAATTGTGAATTTTAGAAGCTGGCGGAGATTTTTTTTTATGGAGTGAGGACCCAAATTTTATTTTATCCACACGAAGAAGTAAGAAAAAACAATTGAAGTGGAACTGGTTTAACATTAATAGATATTGAGGAAATGGCTAAAAAATAATGCCATGTGTCTGTTTTGAAGCTAAAACATGTTAACCTTTGAAGAGAGTTTTCGTTCAAAACAAAGTGAATTTCTGAGAAAATAATTTTTACATTGGAACTATGTAATAATTGCGTGTGCAGAGATATGGGGTTTCGGTTGTTTAATGCTCAATGGGACCTCTTCTTTCCTTGTCACGTGCTAGTTTCATCAATTAAGATGAAATGGTGGGTGGGGGGATAACGGAAAGAAACTACTCCGATTTGGATCCTGCGAATAAGTGAGTCAGCCAAATTGAATTGCT